TTCCAAGACTAAATATGGTAGCAGACAGCTCATCATTCTCCCACGGACCAACTGATGGCTTTGAACTGCTGATCTTGTGGTTAGGAGCCCAGTGCTTAGCCCATGGCACCACTAGGGCTTGTTTCTATTATCGGAGGCAAGTGCTTTTCCCTAACAAGTGCTGACTGCTAACCGCAAGGTCAGAAGTTCAAACCCACCAGCCACTCTGCCGGAGAAAGACAATGCTATCTGCTCCTATAAAGATTTATAGTTTCAGAAAAGTCTTATGACTGAGGTCGCCCTCCAGGGTTGCTATGAGTTCGAATCTACTCGAGGGCAGTGGGTTTGGTTTAGTGTTTTGGAATAAGGGTAAAAATATCCCATAGTGACACAGTTCTGGTTTGAGAAATGAGGATGTCTGTGAATGTCTGTCCTGTCTAGTGACCTTCAAACTGAGCTCTTCCCACCAGGCTAGGAAGGCAATATGGTCTCTCCCTGTTCACCTTACTTGCTCATGGTTCGCTGGTTCCAGAAATGCTTTTCCTGCCTGAAAGGTGCAGAATATGGTCGTTTTACCCAAACTGCCTGTTGTATAGGCATAAAAACCATGTCCCGTGTCTCCTCTAAGACCAAGCACCTTGCTTAGTGCTGGGATGCTGAGAGGAATCCTTTTGGGTTCTGGTTGTAAGAATCCTGTCTGCTTCTGGGTGTGCTTAGACTTAACACTTTCTGCCATTATCTCTCTTCTGGTAGTTCTTAAGACAATCATATGATCTTTTCACTGGGAAAAAAAGTGGGGGGGGGGGGGACAAAAAAATGATTTTTTGAAATAATTCCTGGTACCTTGGTGGGTTATGAGTTGGGCTGCTAACCACGAGATCAGTAGTTTGAATCTACCAGCTGCTCTGTAGGATAAGGATGAAGCTTCCTGCTCCTGTAAAACTTTACAGGATGACTATGAGTTGGAATCGACTCCGTGGCACACAACCACCACACCACCGCCGTGATTGTTTGAACTCTGGAGAGAGTATTGGGCATTTGGTGTGGGCTGGAGATTTCTCCACTGTGATCTGGTTCAGAACACTGTCAGGCATCCCATCTCACCACCATTTTTGAAACAATAAAGCTGAAGGCCTGAGCAGAAAGTTGCCTTTGGTTACGCATTCAGACAAGGCAGGCCCTTCCCTACAGTGTTAGAACCGCTGCAGCTCTGTGTGTCACTATCAGGATTATTCGTTAACTTCTGTAAATGCTCTGAGCCTTGCGATCAAGCCTTTAGCTGATGTCTGGAAACGGTAAAAGGTAGGGATGAAGGAGGAAAAGAGGAGGGAAGGGAAAGAAGAGAGCAAGAGAGGAACAGGAATAAAAAATGATTCTTCACATTGATTCACAGCAACCTATGTAGAACAGAGAAGCACAGCTCCATAGGGTTTCTGAGCTGTAATATCTTGAAAGGCGCTAATAGCCTCATCTTTTCCCTTTGGAGCGACTAGTGGGTTTGAACTGCTGACATTAGCAGCCCAACACAACCCACTGTGCCACCAGAGTTCCTTGTTTTGCCACTGTGCCAACCCATCTCGTTGTGGGTCTTGCTCTTTTTCGCTGACCCTCCACTTTATCAAGCATGATGTTCTCAAGACTGGTCCCTCCTGATTGTCCAAAGTATGAGAGATGAAGCCTGGGCATTTTCGCTTCTAAGGAGCTTTCTGGTTGTATTTTTGCCAACACAGATTTGTTGGTTCTTCTGGTAGTCCATGGTACTTTGAATATTCCTCTCTAACACCATAACTCAAATGCATCAATTCCTCCACTAACTTTATAGAGTCCTGGTGTGGCCCTGGAGGATGAGCACTGTACTGCAAGATTGGTTTGAACAGCAAGGGCGGCAGTTCAAACTCAGCTGTTCCTGGGAAACCGTATACAAGATCGCTATGAGTTGGAAGCAACTCAACAGCACTTAGCAACAACAACAATATACTTTACAATATGAGAGAGTAGGCAGTGCTCGGCCCCCTATCCTGCAGGGTGTAAGTCGAAGGGGGACGAGTGGACTTGTGTTAATGGAAGGCTGATGGCCATCATTTCCACTCTGTAGAGGTCACTTCAGGCTGCTGCCTATCAGAGCCATCATCGCGAGTACAGTCTCCGGGCACCTAGCTCCATTTCCTCAGTTTCTTCCTCTGTAAAATGGGGACAATCACAGTGCCCACCTCATGGGTTATCATGAATATTAAAAACAACAGTGTTCAAAATAGTAAAGGCTTTAAAATTTCAAATAGTGAAGTCTTCCAGAATGCCACCAAGAACCGCCAGCTTTCATGCCTGATCATACCTTTGCATTCACAAAGAGTTTGCACTCACAACTGTCACAAGATGCCTGTGGAACCCCAGATGTTGGATTCTGCATCGCAGGACTGCGTCCTCCGTGCAGGCTGGGGACAAGGACAGGGGGAGACGAGGCAGGCCTTGGCTCTAAGCCCTCTGCTGGTGGTAGAGTAGCTGGCTCTCCATTTGGAGCTGAAATGCACCCTTCAATTATAGCGCTTTCCCCCAGACATCAGCCTAAATACAGAGGTGGCCAAGGCTTCCATTTTAAGCCCATAATTGGCAAGTTGGGTCCTGAAGTCACATTATCATCTTACCCTAAAATTGCAGAGCACTCAGCAGCTAAAATTGTGCAGGTCCATTTGCTGGTGTTGCAAAAATGCCACTTGTCTTGACCATGAAAATAGCAACCTGCAGGGTATGCTTTAAAGAGTGAAAGCCAAGAGTGTCTCGCAGAGAAAGCAGGTCCCACTTTCAGAAGGACCAGTCGCCAACTTCTGCCGTCAGTACTCAGAAATGCAGTTATGGGAAGGCCCATTCACTTCCTTTCGCTTGTTGCTGTTAAGTACCATTGAGTTGGTTCTGACTCATAGTGACCCTCTGTAGGGTTTCTGAGGAGCAGATGGTGAGCTTGAACCTTGCAGTTCAAACAGCTTTGCAGTCTGGCGCATTAACCCACAGCGCCACACCAGGACTTTCACTGAGCCCTTGTGAAATCTGGTTACATTTCCTTGGCAATTTCTCTTTTTCTTTTGTTTCAATTTTTTAAAGGTGGTGGTGCTGGGTTGTTTGGCTGCTTTATTTCAATTTAAACTTTTTTTTTTTTTTTTTTTTACTGTGAATTGGGTGAATTACAGAGCAGGTCAGCATTCCATTCAACGATTCTTACACATTTTGTTTCAGCTCATTGATTGCAGTCCCCACAATGTGACATCACTCGTCCCACTTCACCCTGGGTTTCCTGTTTCCATCCCTCCTTTTTTAATCCTTCTGAACTTTGCCCTTGAACTCAAAGGTTGATTATTCCAAGGCAAGCGCACCTTCCTAGTACTGTTGCTCCTCTTGTCGACCTCTCTGTTGTTGTTGTGAAGTGCCATCGAGATGATTCTGACCCATAGCGACCCTGGATAGGGTTTCCAAGGAGCAGCTGGTGAGCTTGAACTGCCGACCTTGCAGTTCAAATGACTTTGCAGCCTAACACATTAACCCACAGTGCCATACACTACTTGGCTGAAAATTGAGCCATGAGAACGAGTTCATTTCTAGACTGAAGGGTGATGAGAGGCCATAGTCTCAAGGGTTTGCTCTTTTATTTACAGTTCTAATTTTAGTGACCTCTCCGGCACCACTGGCTCCCAGCATGCTCTGGCTGTCACAGACAGGTCTGAGATGAAATTCCAGGTTTCACTCTATAGCTGAGAGTCTGCTGGGCTAAAATGATGAAGATTCTTCATAGGTGGTACTTCTCTGGAAAGTGTGCTCAGGTAGAGAGGATGCTCAAAGGTGAGGGAGAAAGGTGGACTTGGAGCAAAGAGACCAATTCTATTCTTGGCTTAGTCACTTTCATATTCCCACTAAAGTCACAGAATCTCTCAGGGCTCCCAATTCCACACATGGGCAGTGGGCATCCAAGTCCAGACTCTAGTTCTCATATAGGATGTTTCAGGGATCCAGTGTGATGAAGATGTGGACATGCTTTGTCCATGGTAAAC